CTTAACAATGTCCAGCAATAATCAGCAATCAAATTGACACTCCATTTGCCTGGATACCGTTTTTCCATAGCACAAATGACTTGGTGGAACCGTTCTCCATGTTCATCACTTACCGCACCTAAATTTTCCGGAAAAAAATCGAGATGAGAATCCAAAAAGTGAATTTTTACAGACATGTTACATCCCATTCCTTTATAAACAATCAGTTTACTCACAATATCTTTATAATTGTCCGCCTTCACATTGCCAAAAAATTTTGCAGTAACTGATTTAAAAGCATTCCAAGCTCGTAATTCAGTTTCATTTAGAGCACTGTCAAATACATCATCCTTCATGATTTTCCGTATTTGTGGATTAGCAAATATGCCCTGTTTAATTTGTTCCTCTCTAAGTCTCGGAAATATTTGTTTTAAATGCAGAAACCCTCCTCCATTTCGATCAATGGCTTTCATGGGTCCCAACTTAATATGCAATGGTGGAAGCAACACGTTTTTGGGATCAACTACTGGTTCATGAGCAATGTTATTGAGGCCCGGAGTTAATACTTGACGTAGTGGCCACTCCTTCTGTTTATAATGACGATCTCGCGCACGACTGCCCCATTCACAAAGAAAACAATATTTGGTATATCCCAGTTGCATTCCAAGAAGGGCTATTACCTTTAAATCTGCACATATGGCCCATCCGTCTCTAACAGAACTTGCATATTTTCCTATGATTCCTTCATACATAACGCTTCCTTTCCGCAAAAAGTCCAGAAAAGATGGAATGCAATGAAGATTCCAACTTTTCTGCACAATCACAGAAAGCGGGTTACCATTGGCTTCCGGTGGCTCAGTCAGTGGCATGAAGACATCTACAGGCGTGTAGCTGTGTGTCGACCATGGCATGGCTAGAGGATAGAAGAACAAACAGAACACAAAAATTTAACAGATTTTATTTAACAAAAAAAAGCATTTTCATTACATTACAATTTTACAGTTTTAAAGAACAAAATAAGTTTTACATCTTTGGCGCTGCTATAAAACTATCAACTTATCTTTCGCTGGTCCATTTTGACTTTACTGAAGCGAGGATGGCCAGGTGCTTGAAGTGGAGGTCCCAGTTATGAGGGGTGACCTCACATATAGTGGCTTCAAAACCAGTTGTAGGCGAAGTTGAACTTAAAGGCGATGGCGCTGCCAAGGCACATGCATGGGTGAAGTGATAGGCCAAGCAATGCAAAGTCAAAGACAAAGGCAAAAGCAAAGTCAAAGACAAAGGGAAAGGGAAAGGGGGTGGCCCCAATCATTTTGTCCTATTCGGACACACATTCATCAAAATTCTAGCACATGGTGCTATATGACCTCATGCTACAGAGAACAAAATTCTTAGCTCTTGCTAGATCGGCGGCTCAAGTGAAAAGGAAGCGCGAGGAAGATCGCAGATCAGGAACTCCTCATCAAGCGGGCTCCAAGCGGAAAATTTTCCAAGTAAAAAAGCTAGAGATGGGATTAATGAATTGCGATTCTGAAATGATAATCGAGAAGTGATTTAATAAATACAATCGGACGGTGAAACCGTTACAAACTGCGTGCGCTATGGATATTTATTACCGTTGTGTACCAATACCTCTTTTAAACTGAGCTTAGACCTTAGAGGAATCAATGGACAGGCGCCAATCATTTGGATCATGTTTCTGTCCTAACACGTCAAACAAATTGTTGACATCAGAACAATATATCAACTCCCTTTCTTGACGGAAACAGTGTGTGAAGTCTTGTTGCCGTTTTCGGTAAAAGTAATGTTAACATCACCTTGTAGAAGATTCCATCCTTTTAATCTTGATGCTAAAAGTTCGGACTGGGATTTTGACAGATTTAATTCTCCAACTAGTCACTGTGTGATCAAATGCGGCGCTGTTGAACATCCTGGCAGGTCAAACAAAGGATTGGAATGTTTTTCCCTTTCTGTACCATCACTTTTAGAATCGGTGGATTCGACTTTTTCATCCAAAGACCAAGATTTTGATGGAACTGGGACAGAAAGTTCATCACTATGCTTAACAGCACAGCTGATGGTAAATTAAAATACTTAACAGTATGTTTCGATTTTGGTCCAATACCTTTAATATTTGTGAGGCAAAAATAGCAATCAGCAGTATGGTCTCTCGGTTCTCTCCAAACCATTGGTACCGCAAAGGGCATTTTACGATTGTCGCCTCTTAACCAACCTGTTAACAACGTTACACAACTCTTACAATATATATGAGGGGCCCTTAGTTTGTCTTGGTCGCCAACTTTAATTCCAAAATAAAGTTCGTATGCTTTCAACACAAGAGGAGTAAAAGTACGTTTTTATGATTTAAAAGTTAGCTCTCCGTACACATAACAGTACTCTTCAACACAGAAAACGTAACTGACTCGGCTGCTGTTAGTCTACTAATAAACGCAATATGCTCTCTAAACATAGAGCTCGCATATAATAAACCAGAATAGACAGGTCTTAACATTATACATGTGATTCATTGCATAAACGCCGATAAATGCAGTAATATGAGATGTTACGTATTGTAATTCATAAAAGTAAATGTTACCGAATATCTGTGGGTGATAGAAAAATTATGTTTGTAGATTTGATTTAAGGGTCTCAAAACACATAAGATACACCCAAAAATTGTCATGTCACAAGTCCTGTGTTTATCAGTGTAATTAAGTTATACGAAAGTCGTCTTTTGATTTTTTTGCTCAAAACAAATAAACATAAAATACTTACATAACGTTATTTATTGTTGCAATGTTTTGACAGTGGCGTTGCACATCGGTAACGCTGGAAATTAAATGAATCAAACCGGAAAACGTCTTTTTAAAACTACACTTAAACTTTTATTTCAATGAAAACATTTAACAGTAATTAACACGATACTCATAATGATTGCTGAAAATGTATTCTTTCAACCTCAATGCAAACATTAGCTCGTCTTACCATTGATTGCCGAACTTGTTGAAATATTCCCGGCTTATGTTTTATCTGATCACATGAATCTCGTATCCGTTGGATTAATTCCTTTTCAGCGTTTACTGGATTTGTGTAAACGAGGGACTGCCCCCAAAGAAAAAATGTGGACCCGCACGCCCGATCCAGTTTTATCCAAAAGTTGCATCCAAAAATTCGGGAGCTACAATGCTGAAGTGAGGTGGAGCTCCATCGTGCATAAATCCTATTGCTTCTCTTCTCCAGCGGGACATTTTATAGTATTTCAGGTGAAATAAATTCAAAAATGACGATCCTCTTGGCCATTTAATCCCGGGGGCAAAATAAGATCCAATGAGATAATTACCTACAATACCAGTACAAACGTTCTCGGAAAACTGTTGTTGATAATTAACTTCTGTATTGTGAAAGTTCAAAATTGAATTTCGGAATAAACACGCTTCAGCGGTAAATAAAATACGGGATAGAAATCTTGGAAACGCTACCTGTTGTTGCAAAAGCCAAGTACAGTAAACGACTCGATGGGAAATATCGGCAGGTAATAACGCTTGAACATGCTGTAGTAAGGATACAGTTGATATTCCCTTGAAATCTGCCATACAGTAAGGTGAGAGATGTTAAATTGTTTTGCAATTTTGCATGTACTTGTATCGGTGCATACGCTCAACTTCATGTAAAACTGCTTCCTCCATCTTCACTGTTGTTACTGTGGCAGATCTCCCAATAACAGCAGCCGACCTTTGAAAGGTGCCTGATTCGCACAGCATTTCCTGTATTCTCACGAATATTTGTCTATTTGGTATAATGCGTTGAGGATATCTTTCTTGATAAGTGCGCCTAGCCGCTCTAGAATTGCCTTGAGCCATTCCATAAATAAAATGCATATCGGCCATTTCTGTGTTTGTAAATTGAACCATTTTCCAATATTAGTAATTTTATAGCTTGAGACTTTTAAAAGCACTTCAAATAATTATTACTTTATATTATCATTATTTACGCAATGCTTTAAGTAAGTTATGTCAAAGTCAGATTTGTTTGAGTAGCAATATGTTTTCCTTTCATGGCACTCTTATTTTTTGCTTCTTTTAGAACATAGCTGTTATAATTATTACGTTATGCGATTATTTTGTTATTTTGTTTTATCGAAATAAGTTTTAAAAACCTAAGTGCGAAAAAATTCAAGAGATGACTTTCGTCTAATGTTAATTACTTAATTAGTTTGGTGGTTTTAATGTTTTACTATGTTATTGTCCCAAGGACATGCAATAAAGTGCTTTTTATTTTTTATCTCGCAAACGAAGCGAGATATGAAAGAAACTCAGGAGACAAACAAGTTGTATTTTTAGCTGTTTAATTCCAAAAAAATATAAAAAGTTAGTGGCTAACATTTTTTTGTCAAAGATATTGGTTAGAGTGTTTTTCGGGACGCCACTGGGCTTAATCATTTCAATCTAATTTGGGCTAAATTAACCCCTTACTGGCCTTGATAACACTGTTAAATTTGAACAAAATCGACTAAAATTTTATTGAGATATTTAGGAAAAACTGTTTTTTTTTTAAAGTTTGACGCCACCCTGTATCTTGAAAGTGCAGCATTTCTGGACCTATGTTTATATAAAATTTTGATCTTAATATTACTGAACGAATCACCTCCTGAGGTTTAGCCACGTACTTAAATGACCCCCTGTATATTCCAACTACGAACTTTTGGACCGCCCTGTTTGAAACTAAGTAGTTCAACATAGGTTTTGTTCGTGGACGCAAAGTATCCCTAACTGGGTCGGATTGTGTCAAATATTATTTTATTTTATGTTGTTGAACACTATTTTATGTTACAGTTTTTGTGGTTTATACCGGTTGAATTTTTGAATGAATCATGCCAAGTTGAAAAAGAAATCGTTTTCGATTAATGCGGAAAAATTCACGTCTCTTCCTGTTTTGGCTACTTATTTATTTGATCTATCGGGTGTTCTTGAACTGTTTTTGTAGCTTGTGCTCACCTTTATTTACTGAATTAAAATTTACAGGCAAAAATTCAAAAACATCAGGCATTTGAAGCAGAAGTGGCAGCGCACAGCAATGCAATTGTTGTTCTGGACAACACTGGCAGAGAAATGATTAATCAAAATCATTATGAAAGTGAAACGATCCGCAGGAGATTGGGTTAGTAGCTTTTACATTCAATTTATATAAATGTCGTTATTTTAAAAACAAAATAGAGCACCAGCCTACTAGTTCAAAATAATTTCGATATACCACGAATGCATGAAAATGGTTTTTATTTTTTACGCTAAAACGATGCATCGGACGGATATTAAGGGGTCAAATTTGTTGCAAAATAAATGAGTATTTCAAAAATGATTTTTATTCACGGAAAAAGCAGTGACGTACCATATTTTTTTGAAAAATCTCCAGTATACATCCCCGTATGGACGCTAGTGAACAGTATTGAAGCTATGAAAAAAAAACGAATTTTTTCTTAAAATTTTAACACCCTGTAGCTAGTTAAGAGATTTAAGACATATGTTCATATAAACTTCTCTTTCTAAGGTGAACTAGGGAATCATATCCTGTATTTTTAGCTATCAATTAAATTACACCCTGTGTTCCGTGAACATAGAAGTACTACGTTTTTTTAGACTCAAAAAAAGTCGATTGGACATGATTTACCTGTATATGAAAGTGCCTTCGTTTGTCCGTTAGAGAGCGTCAAATTTTTTTTTCAAAACGCATTTTTCTAGATATTTTTTAAGCCAATAGTCCGATTTGAATGAAATTTGGAACATACCTATATGATTTGTATAATATTTAACTTTTACGAAATACTCTAAAGGGTTCGAGAAGGCTGAAAATCATAGCACCATTTTTTGGCGACTTCCCAGACGACTCTGGTTTTTTAAATTTAGCAAATCTTTTTGTTTACTTCATTTTTTGTCACCTATAAAAGCAGAACATATCGGATAGCTTTCGCGAAAAAAAAATTAGTTGCATCAAGGCGTTGACCACCATTTTCGTTCCTGCACATAACAATACGGCGCAAAAAATTCTAGTGAAGTTTCTTTAAGATGTCATTATTGTTTAATGTATTTCAGCATTTTGAATTATGTCCCATAGTTCATTGGCGTTGTCTATCAACCTTGTATACCGTTGTTCTTAATGCTCCCTATATAAAAAAATCGCAAGGATTAAAAACAGGAACGAGTCAGCCATTGAATAGGAGCTTCTTGACCTCGATTTACAGACAACAAATTAACAATCAGGAATAAACTCAAACATTACTTATTAACACAAGTTGTCGAGTATAGGGGTTATCCCCTATCATTCATAATACATATTAATGACCTGGCACTGCAGCTATCTAAATTGAAGCTATTTTCGCAGATGACTTGAAGATATTTAGTGAAATTGAAAACTAGAGTGACTGTATGGAATTGCAGAGCAGGATGAGTAAATGGTGCGTTGCCAACAAACTAAATATAAACATAGCAAAATGTAAAATTTTGAGCTTGACTCGCACGCTTAATTCTGTCATGTTTACTTACTACATCGATAACACCAATCTAGAGATATGTCATACATTCAAAGATCTAGGCGTAAGTGAAATGGTCTCTTCAGCTAAATATTAGGATACTGTGTCAGAAACTGGTCGGGTGTTGCTGATGTGAACAGCCTTAAAGCAATATATTTATCTTTTATTAGGAGTAAACTAGAATACAGGGTGCGCCATCTTTTATGTCGGTATGTAAACATGAAATAACTTTGCAAACGAAAAATTGATTTCTGTATATCGGGTATTTTAATCAAATTTGGTCCTTTACAATTTATTGGGGCTAGCTTTTGAACACAACATCTATCAAGTGTCCACTTTTATTGGCCAAAACAAAATGTGCCCGTTTTGCTGCGTTTTCCATTACTTTTTCGAGCATCTCTGGTGGTATAGCGGCGATTGCGATACGAATGTTTGCCTTGAGTTCTTCAGTGGTCTGGGGCTTGCTGGCGTACACTAGACTTTTCAAATAACCCCACAAGAAGAAGTTTGGTGGGGTCAAATCTGGAGACCTGGGTGGTCAGTCAATGTCACCCCTTTTTGACATCAGACGTCCAGGGAATTTTCGTTGCAGAAACTCGATTGATTCATTTGCAGTGTGGCATGGCGCACCGTCTTGTTGAAACCAGTAACCATGAAGTCCTTTTTCACGCATTTGTAGGTAGACACAATGAGCCAACATCCACCGATATCGATTTCCATCGACTGTTTCATTTTCGTTGAAGAAAATGCCCCAATGATGGTTTTGGCGCAAACGCCGGCCAAACAGTCACTTTCCGGTCATGCAACGGCATTTCTTGGATCTCATATATATTTTCCGTCCCCCAAATGCGGTAGTTTTGCTTTGTAACGCCGCCAGAGAGCGTGAAATGGGCCTCGTCAGTCATCACAATTTGCTTCCAAAAATCAGGTTCAGCATCAACCATGCGACCGACTGTTTGAGCATATTCCAAGTGACGTGGACGGTCAGTTGGCAATAGATTTTGTGTTAACTGCATCTTATAAGGAAACAAATGCAAATCATCCTTCAATATGCGCCGCAACGTGGTTCCACTGATGCCAAAATGCTGAGCGTGTTGACAATACGACAGTTTTGGGTTCTGGGCAACGCTGTCTCTGGCCGCTTCAACCAATTCATCGGAACGTCTTGGTCGTTGATGAACGGAATGTTGACCATCTCCCACTGAGCCATACTCAAGAAAATTCGAAACCAAACGACGGATAGTGTTGTCAGACGGTGCCTGTTTGCCACGATATTTTTGACGATATGCACGTTGCGTTAACACAACTGAACGACGATTTTCAATGTACATTGTGACTATTTCGGCGCGTTGTTTCGGTGTAAAGAGCGACTCATGACTGACGTTGTAGTAAATTGACGTTTCAGAAACACGTATAACCAAATCACTTGGTTGGTAAATATCATAAGTCATTCGATGTTTCAATACCGACATAAAAGATGGTGCACCCGGTATGCTGCACTGGTTTGGTCGCCAATTTATCAAAATGCGATTTCAGCTATTTAATCTGTCCAGCATAAGAGCCTGAAATACATCCATTTAAAAGTTTATGGCTTATATTTTGGAAGAGGCTTCCCACACAATATCCTACTTCAAGTCATGAATTTTGATATATTGGTTTACCGTCGACAATTAAATGACATTACAGTGCTTCATTGTCTGGTTAATAATGAAGTGGATTGCCCGGAATTATCTGAAATTAATTTTGTTGTGCCAAAGAGATCAACTCGCTCTAGTGCAACTTTTTACAGCGCTAGAGGTAGAACGAACATATCGAAAATGTCACCTGTTAAAAGGGTGTGTTTGACACTTATTGTCAAGGATGCTATGTCGATAACAACACCATTCAGGTGATTTTGAGCAGTTTTAAGTAAACATATGCGATCCTCAACCAGTTAGGTTTTGCGAATAGAGCCGTAATTTTTAAATATATATTTCATTGTCAATTTTACTGTCAGTCATATACATGTTTATGTATTTATTTCCTGTAATAATGTTTTTCATTCATGTTTTAAATGCATTTTGTAAAATGTACTTTTATACACAGGAGCATAGAACATGTTTATTATCGGATGTTCCTGTGATTGGGTGCAAATGGAATACAAATTATTATTATTAATTTTAACTTTATGAAGCGTGTTATCAAAAATAATTTGACCTGACATAACATCACACATTTCCGCCAACTAGATGCCTACTAGATTTTAACACTTGTTTCAATGAGAAATTCTTTTAGAAATCTGCTTCGAAAAACATTTTTAATCGAAAACGATAAAATATCCAATGATAAACATCCATCAAGGTCTATGTGTACAAAAGACCGTTTTACAAAATGAATTTAAAACATGAATGAAAAACATTATTACAAGAAATAAATACATAAACATGAATATATGTTCCTCGTAGTCAGACTAGGTTGAGTCCAAATAAGTAGTTTTGAGATAATTGCATCTGAAATATTTTTCTTGTATTGTATTGTATGTGACTTGACGTGAGTTAAAAAGACGTAACTTCCTTATTATTACAGATAGATGGACGCTGCAAGTAGCAAATGAAAATTCACAATATTATAATAAGCTTAACATTTTAAACAATAATGGGCTCAACCTAGTCCGGCTCTGGGGTACAGATTATGAAGACAGTAAAATTTACACAAAGAAATATGTATCTGAAAATTACGATTACCGGTTAAGTACCGCATGTTTGCTTAAAAGTACTTAAAATCACCTGAGAGGTATTGTTATTGATATTGCATCCTTGACAGTAAGTGTCAAAAACACCACTCATCCTTTTAACAGGAGACATTTCCGAAATGTTGGTTCTACCTCTAGCGCTGTAAAAAGTTGCATTAGAGCAGTTGATCTCTTTGGCGTCACAAAATTGATTTTATATAATAATTCCGCGCATTCAAGTTCATTATGAACCAGACAATGAAGCACTGTAATGTTATTTAATTCACGACGGTAAACCAATGTATCAAAATTCATGACTTGAAGTAGAATATTGTGTGGATATAAGCCATAAACTTTGTAATGGATGTATTTCAGGCTCTTACGCTGGACAGATTCAATAGCAGAAATTCCATTTTGATAAATCGGTGACTAAACCAGTGTAGCATATTTTAGTTCATGAATATATTGCTTTAAGGCTGTTTACATTAGCAAAACTCGGCCAGTTTCTGGCACAGTATCCTAATATTTTATTTGTTGAGGAGACCATTTCACTTATGTGGACAGAGAACGTCAATTTACTGTCAAAAATTACCCTTAGATCGTTAGCATCTCTCTAGATTGGTGTTATCAATGTAGTTAGTGAACAGGATAGGATAATTTTCAAATCATCTGCGAAAAATAGCTTCTATTTAGATAGCTGCAGTGCCAGGTCGCTATGATATATTATGAATACAATAACGATATGTAATTACTATATCTTTCATGTAGAAGTCATGTTTAAAAGTTTGAGAGATTATGCTGCTGTCAGCTGCTGTTTACAAATCGTATGTCGTCACAGCACATTAATACATAGGAAAAACATGGCGGACTGCGTTTTCGCCTGTCTATGAAAAATATATTTTTAAATTGAACTCCTACGGTCTTTTAAGCCTGAAAAAAATATATAAACTGGGGGACAGTTGCTTTGCAACATGGAAAGTTTTACTCAAATACAAATCTCGATAATTTCGGTCGGTATATTTCTTTTATTTATCCACTTATACAGGGTGAGCAAAGGAAGTCATGTTTTTAGCAAAGTTTGGAGCTATGTCAGATTATCAATTTTCGATCTTGGAAATTTTTCTATGAATCTTTTTGATCTTTGGACTATCCTAAAAAGACGATAACTCAAATTATCGAATTTTATAAAAGTGTTACATTTATCCCTAAAAAAAGGGACTTTTTGGGATTTCTCTTGAGAATCGGTATTTTTTCTCATGCAGTTGCATAAAGTGGAATTTCTTGGGCTCGAGAAAAGATTGAAGCACTCATTGAACGTTATTGTCTCCAGTGGCGTGCAGTGAAAATTTGCTACTTTGACATTATGTAATTTAAACCGATTTTATAAATTTTCCTATGCAATTAAACAACTTAATGAACAAATCCAAGTTACTACATACTCTTAATATAGGGGTATATTCCAGTGGTGTAACACCAAAATCATTTTTTTGTTTGGTAAGATATGATAATAACTTAAAAAAATATTATTCATAATGCTATGATGCTGGCCAACACTGATATCTTTTATCTTGAATTTTTCATATTTCTCATTCAGCATTGGCGTACGCGTTTTCTTTGGAGATGCTTTCCAATAGGTAATAGGCTTTATTAAATCCTTGAACAACATCAAAGAATTTAATGATGGGCATTAACGTTAGGTAACATTTTAGAAAACAAAGATTTGAAGACCAGTTATATATACAAATTATTTATTTATGACAAAAACGAACTTTTTACATAACAGCAACAGTTATTTTAAACAATATTGTTCGTACCTTGTAGGGCCACACCGCACATCGATCACAGCCTGACATCTTCGTGGCATACTTTCCAGAAGGTTATTAATAAATTCTCGGGACACGTTTTCCCACTCTTCCTGAAAGGCCTCAGACAGCTATTCCATTGTTTGAGAAGCATTTTGTCTTGACAGCACCAACAATTTTAGCCGAGACCACAAATGCTCAATTATGTTTAGGTCTGGAGACTTTGATGGCAGAGGCAATAATATAACATTATTTTCTGCCAAAAGTTTATAACCATACCATATCATCAATGAAGACAAAATGTTCCCTAAAAGGTACAACAATATCGTTTGAAATGTTGTCCCTATAAACTGCTGCATTAACTATCCTGTTTGGAATAAAAAGTTTGGTTTGACCATTGTGCATAACCCCAGCCCAAACAGTAATTCCACCTCCACCAAACGCCTCTTGTGGAGCCATGCTTTCTTCATCATATCGTTCCCCAGCTTGCCTCCAAACAAGGAACCTACCATCAGAGTAGTATACGTTGAAGCGGGTTCCATTGGAAAACATGGAATTTTGCCACTGCTGATGCTAATTTACCCTCTCCTGTGCCCATTCGTACCTGGCGACTCTATGATTGTTCAAGAGTCGGGTACACTTGGCGCGACGCCTTGCTCTGGAAGAAATACTATTTTAAAAAAGTACCTAGCAAGATTTCTATAACATTTACATACCTTAAAAAACTAGAATGTAAAGTTCTTCTTTCAGTACCATTTGATGTTATTATTCCACTGTGCCGCCGTAAGTTTTCATTCAAGGTTCTGGATGAAAAGATGCTCCTTCGCCTTACTTCCTGCAATAAATGTCTTTCGGCTCGACCTCATATTCTTTCTTTTTTTTGATACTGATATCTACGGCTTAAACGGTATTGAAGACCGATCAATATTATAAATTAAAGCTACATCATTCATCAATCTTATACAGTTCTCTCGTTCTTTTTGAAAAAGACGAGGCATTTTAGGGAAAATAAAATTATACTGTCAAGCCTACAGTCATTATTATTGTTACTCAATTGCATGTTTGAAATTTGAGATATCACTTTTTTTAGGATAGTCCAGAGATCAAAAAGATTCATACAAAAAATCCAAGATCAAAAATTGAGAATCTGACATAGCCCCAAAAAACTGACTTCCTTTGCTCACCCGTATAAGTAGATAAATAAAATAAATATACCCGTCGAACCCTGTACGTAACCTCCCGAATACTGCAACTCGATATCTCTTTCCGTTCCGAAAATATCGAGATATGAATTTGGGTAAAATTTTCCATGTTGCAACTGTCCACCAGTTTAGTATACATTTTTTTGGTTTAATAGAACGACTATTTAAGACCTATTTACAATGGTGTCAACTAGCCCATTATAACGATAAACATATCTATTTTAATGAAGCAATAATTTGATTTTATAGAAGAGCTGCACAGACTATGGGAACAGCTTCTTTCCAAGCTGGCCGAAAAGGGGATGAAACTACAACAAGCTCTGGTTCTCGTCCAGTTCATTAGGCATTGTGATGAAGTCATGTTTTGGATAAACGAGAAAAGTGCATTTCTATCAACCGAGGAATTTGGTCATGATTTGGAACATGTGGAGGTATTTACATTACCTCGATCATCAGATAGCACGTTGAAATATTTTTTATATCCTTACAGGTATTGCAACGAAAATTCGATGAGTTCCAAAAAGATATGGCATCACAGGAATACCGTGTGGTCGAAGTAAATGACTTGGCGGACAAACTACTGCAGGATGGTCACCCCGAACGCGACCAGATTGTTAGACGTAAAGAGGAGGTTAACACCGCATGGCAGAAACTTAAGCAAATGACACTTGCCAGGCAGGATAAGTACGTGCTATGCTTTTCAACTTGATATAGTTACCTCGCCTATAGCTCACTAATGGAATAACAAAATTTTCCCTAAACCTCACATAAATTCTAATATAGATGAAAATTGGAAAATTTTGTTCTTCAATCTAACGAACCTATGCAGACAAGCATTTCAAATAATTGCAACCCACAAATTATGCTAACAAAATGTGGGTTGCAGTAGTTTAGGCAAATCACTGGGAAAACAGTCGTTGTATATACGTCATATATTTTAACTGCTTGTAGGAATCGGCAGAAGGAGTTGATGTACCAAAAATCACCTATATAAAAGTTGCATAATAGAAATAGTAAAAGATTAAGAATTTTAAAAAATAATAATGTTATTTAGATTTTTTATATTCTAGAGCACTTCGGTGTAAAATCTTAAGGTTTTTTATTTACTACTCTTATCGTTTATCTAAATTTGGCAAAGTTTTTGTGTTATTGTATGGTTTTCAGTACGAGTCTTTGGTTTGATCAATTGAATCAGTCTTAATAGTGCGTATACTTTCATTTGTCTGATTATTTTGTGCGAAAACATGGTCTATGTTTACAAAAGCAATGAACTAGTGGACACAATACTAACATACGGAGACTGCCAAAAAAATGCAGCCACAGCATGCAGGTTGTATGCAGAAAGGTTTCCTTTAAGAAATCATCCTGCTCCACGGATGTTTGTAAATTTGCTTATTAGATTTCATGACACAGTGTATTAAAAAAAACAACGATGTGGTCACGCTGGAAGACCTGCTCAATCTGAAAAATGTTACAAATTGAGGGAGACATTTTAGAAATGGTCGAAGATGACCCGACAATGAGGACTAGAGCCATAGCAGCTCAAGTTGAAGTTTGTCATAATAAAGTGTGGAAGACAATACGACAAGACGAGTATTATCCTTATAATTATCAATGAGTATAAGGGTCACAACATGAAGATCTTCCTGTGTCCCTATTCTTGACTGTAATAGAAAATCACACTCCCTCTCTTTTTCTACTCCCCCGGTTTTCCATCGATTCGAAAATACTGTATTCTTGGAAGGTCTCGATAGAAAGGAGAAAGTAAATCAAGTCCCAGGGTTGCCAGGTTTGAGTAAACGTGTTAAGCCAATCAAAATGGAGATAATTTTGACAGTCAAAAACTAACCAATGATTTCAGTCAAGATTTCCTCCTTATAATTTTATCTATGGAGCCGGAAACTTTGAAAACCACATTACAAATGAACAAAATGAATGAATCCATGATTTGGCAACATTGCAACTAGATGGACAAATGATGATAGTGATGGTGACGTAGTGATGGGAATGTTTATCTAAAATAAAAAAATGCTACTTAACAATAACCTGTTTTGATCATTAAAATATGTGTATGTTATATTCATATAATTTAGAGCATTCTTTTGTGTAAAAAAAAGAAATAACTAGCTGATAAGTCAGTATTCTATACAGTATTACCACCCAAAATGCAAGTTTGAAGTTCTATAAAATAGCAAGTAGAGGTTTCCTTTAAAAATATGATACTTTCGGTCAATTTACATCCAAATCTTTCATTTTATAATAAGAAATGAAATATTTGCGATATGCTCTAAAGTGGTTTTCAGCCCTACCAGAATCCTGTTCACTTTAAGTTACCAATTAGGAAAGCTCAATCTTTATTTAGTAGCCGTATCTATTTTCTGGTCGTTGTTCAATGTATGTTCTTCCTAGGAATGCTGCTGATGTTTTTTTCAATTATCCTGTATATGTATGGGTTTCTAGAACTAAAAAACTAAAAAGTGAAGTAAGTTGATATAATCTAATTCGGTTTTCGTTCTAGACTATATGGTGCTCATGAAATCCAGAGATTCAACAGAGACTCCGACGAAACCGTAGCTTGGATTGCAGAAAAGGATGTCGTCCTATCATCTGACGATTATGGGAGAGATCTTGCTAGTGTGCAAGCACTTCAAAGGTAAAGTGAAAATACCCGTAGTATCGTCCTTGTCTCTATGAAATATCAGTTTCTTACTGGAGTTCGTTTACAAATGTTTTTCACGAACTATTTAGCTGAAATAAAATTACGGTTTCCGACATAGTCTATATCAAATGAGGGTGATACTGAGTAGATTCAAAGGTAATTTGATGAATCAAATAATATAAAATTATCATATCAACAATTACTTGAATGTGTACAAAAAAAGTGTCATAAGTAATGTGGGATATTAAACCAACAAAGTCTAATTCGATATTTGTTCGACGTTGTATGGAAAACATAGTAATTCGTGAATGACGACCTGTACACGGAAATGTCAAACTTGAAAAACGGAGATGACAGTGCATGAAAGAGATTAAACTATATATTTAGGATACATTCAACAATCCTGTTTCAGATAAATCCACTAAACATACTGTAAGGCCTCATTTTCAAAATATTCTTTTAAATGGGGTTTGGCATTTTCACAGTTGTTGCATTTACACATCAGACAGTCTTCACCATATGTGTTGTGTTGGTGTTTAGGGATATAATTGGGAGCTTTACATTTACGTGTAGACTATGAACAATTATTTCCGTATTGGCATGTGTATCTATCACAAATTCTCATAGGCTTAATGCAGAAGGGTCTAGCAAGACGAAAGAATGTGTAACTTATACAGAAACGTTTCTGTCTTGTTACTTTATTTTTTTCACAAATTCATTTTTGCCAGCTCATAACCTCTAGTTTTAAGAAGTCTTTCATCCTTTAATAAGTCCTGCTCTTTGGACATTTATAGCCTTTTTTCTCTCTCAAAACTTGTTAAATCTATCTTTTTCAAATTTGATGATTTTCGAAATTTCATGACTGTAGAAAGTTTGTATTTTGTATTTCCTTACCACTTTGCCATACAACATTTTTTAAAATACTTGTCTCCTTCGTGGTTCTTGGTAAGTATTCACAAACTGTCACTGTACTACTCGTACTTCACCAAATCTTATACTTTTCTTTTAATTTTTTGACTCTCAAAGGTTCAATATTGGGTGTTTTTTTTATTAGAGTCAACTTTTCTAGATCTGACTTTTCATTATTTATTTCATGATTGGTTTCACTAAAAGCCTACAGTAGCTCTTCTTATACCGTGTGACAATGAAAATTGGAAACACTGCATTTTTTTGGCAAATAAAGATATCGCTCCAAGATTGGGACATGTTTAGTTGGTTGTTAAGAGGCATTTCTGGAAAGTTGAATGGGTTGTCTCTCCCTTCCGGCTTAACACAATGTATTATCAGCATTCATAATACCTTCCATTAAGTGTAAGTTTCCAACTCCTCTTGCTGAAATGAATCCCCACATCATAACAGAAGCCGGAAGTTTCTTTTTTTCAAGGCAGTCATTCTGAAACACTTCCTGTTTAGTTCTGATGACACGACTCCTACTATCACCAACGCATACTTCAAATGTGGCTTCATCACTCCAAATAATGGAGTTCCATTGATTCGGAGACCATAATTTGTGTTCTTTGGCCCACGCTAGTCTGAATCTTTGTCAGTAAGGGCTTCTCTTTTGCCTAGAAATACTAAATTAAAAACGCATCTTAAAAAAATAATTCAAGCCTGCCTTATAAGTTTTAAATCCCAGTTTTTGTGCAGCTTTGTGACAAGTTGCTCTTGCACACTTTTTTGTGGTTGCTTGATTCCATAATATTTTCAATTCGTTATAATTAGCACGCCGACTTACCTTGATAATCCGTTTTAAGGTTCTTAAGTTGGTATTGGACTAACGTGAGCGACTTCCAGTTCTGGGTTTTGAGCCACAGATGCCGTTGTTTTTATACAATTTAATAATATTTCGAACTGTATACCTATTTGTTAAAACTGTCAGCGATTTGAAGTGAATGATCATTTTTTTATTTCGTCAGAAATAGCTTCACCACGATCTATTTTTAATTGTTAACAACAACACCAGTGCATTGAAAGTTGATTTAAACGTCAAAAATTACCTTTTTACCAACGTAAAACCTGCTAACTTGTCTCCATCATGTATTTTGCTATATACAAATCGTTTTGCAAAGAAGATAATTTCGAAATAAAAACGCTGTAAAAATAGCCGCATTGTTTTTTTATCTTTACATAAACATTTAAAGAAACCAAAAATATATTTGAAATAAAATTTTAATTAGCCCTCAAATAAATTCACAAATATCATGTTTAGGGGCGTTGGGCCAACTGAGACATGACTGTATTTTTGTATTCATGATCAGTTCAACAATATTTATGTCTCTACCGAAGAGTTGTAATAACGTTTTTTGTGAGTTGCAGTTGACTGCGTGAAAGCATGTTTTTGTTCATCCTTCGACACTGCAAAAGGACAATTTTCAATAATAAGCGAAAAATCTTGAAAACTCGTCAATTAAATTCGTCATCATTAGAGGCAGAGAGAAACTTCCATGAAAAGTTTATCTTGAACAGGCAAAATATTTTATACTTTATTTCTTTACAGGAAACACGAAGGTGTTGAAAGAGACTTGGCTGCTCTAGAAGATAAAGTTGCTACCCTTGGTAAAGAGGCTGACAGATTGTGTGCTATTCATGGAGATCATGCTGACGTTATCCAGGCTAAGAGGGCTGAAATCGAAGCTTACTGGCAAAGCTTGACAGCAAAAGCAAAGGTTTGTTATAACATTCATCCCCACATCTCTGTGAAATCGAGAAATATCGTTCCTCGTTCACATAATAATATAAAATATTATAAGCAAGTAAAAAACACAATAATGTATTTTTCAAATGAAATAATTCTTATATGTTCTTAAAGACCACTTCAAAATAAGAAGTTTGATATAACGTTATGTAAGGTTTGATTCGCTGTTTCTGGAGCTGCGGGATATTTTGCCCGAAAAATTACTCAAATTTGACAGCGTGTGAGCCAGTGTATTTGCAGATACATTTTATCAAAATATCATCATATCCCCATACTTGCTCGTCACCTCAACATTTTTAAATTTTGTATGTACCGGGGAAAGATAACCCGTGCCAACTATCGGTCAAACTCTGAATTTGAAAGTTAATAGGGGAAACCATGTATGGATTTCAAAACCTAATTCTTGTTATATGAAAATTGTTTTTGTTCCTCATCAGCAGTGATTAAGCCATGGAAGTCCTGCATTAACTTGTCTGCTGTTTCTGAAAGTTCTTCTTTCGATAGGATGTAGCGTTTACCGTGGGCTGATGGACTTTCTTTGGCTAACTTAGCAACAATTTTTACTTTAGTTTCCTCATGTACGTCGTCGTCAAACAGAGATAAGACAGATACCTGATATGTCAAATACCATAAATGTTGGCAGAACTTTTGTAAAGCTGCTTTTGTCAATTCTTTCGTAATCCCTCATTGCCTTTAAGAAGCATACATCCTGGTTAGGTGCTTTTACCGCTAAAGCTAAATAAAGCTGTGAGAATCATTTTAAATGAAAACAAATATGTTAGGATTAAGTCTATGTTAGAAGAAATACAGTCGTTGAATGTAGAAAATTTCATATGCTATATAGTTCTCATTTTCATTTCAAATGAAAAAAATCAAAAAATGTGTAAAAGAATAATTATACAAAACTGACATTGCAGCATTAATGCTAAATAAATCTCCAACAAACAAACAGTTTGAATTATGAGAAAATATGGGATATAAAGCTCATTTTGACGAAAAGTTTGCTATCCATCTGCAAAAAATAATTGTAAATAACTTTTTTAGATATACCTATGATCAAAAAGTACCGGAAATTTATGAATAAAACAAAAACGGCTTAATATTCAGTCAAATTTATTTTATCGCCTTCAAAGTAACATCCACCTGAAGCAACACACATGTTCAGCCACTAGTCCTTGCACCGCTGATATGCCGCCAAAGTTAGGCCTTAAGCTCTCTCGTCGCATTCTGCTCGATGTCATCTATAGACTGAAATCTCTTTCCCCGAAGTGGTAATTTGAGTTTTGGGAAGAGAAAAAAGTCGCACGCAGCCACATCAGGGGAATACGGTGCCTGTTCAATGATATTTACTTGATGTTTGGTCATATAATCAAACACAATTCTGGCCCGATGCGTCGGCGCGTTATCAGCGTGCAAAATTCACGAATTATCGGCCCACAATTCCGGCCGTTTACCACGTACCGCATCCCTCAAACGCCTCAAAATGGACAAGTAATCTTCTTTATTCACTGTCTGGCCCGTTGGTAGATACTTTCGTAGACTATTCCTTGATAACACTGGTGAACAAAATTAAAATAATTTTTTGTGACATGGACAAAACAAGGTGGTTATTATGTAAAACGTACCCAAAAAGCTGGAAATAGCATTCCATTTTTTCTATCACCCACGGTTTTCTTGCAATAAGGCATTTTATTTGCTGCTTATACTCGTAATGTATAAGGATATGTTTGTAAGAGTACTAATAAACACTCGAATAAACATTAATCTCAGAATGTTATTGTCGATGTTTTACGACGATATGTTGCTCCTGAAGTATCTCTTAACAATGTCCAGCAATAATCAGCAAGCAAATTGATACTCCATTTACTTTGATACCATTTTTTCATAGCAGAAATGTCTTGGTGGAACCGCACTTTGACGGCGACAACTCCGAATGAATGTGCTGGTGCGTTATCGTGTTGAAAAAGCACCTTCGTTTTCGTGAAATGTGGCCGTGTCTCCTTCAAGTTTTTGTCGAAGCGGTCCAATAGCTTACTATAGTATTGTCCAGTGATCGTTTTTCATTTTTCTAAAAAATTCACGAGGATGACGCCGTTCGCATCCCAAAAAATCATCGCCATGACCTTTCCGGCCTATGGCACCGTCTTAGCCTTCTTTGCAGCAGATTAACCGGGAGAAATCCATTGTTTTGATTGTTGCTTAGTTTCTGGTGTGTAATGATGAATCCAGGTTTCATCGACGGTCACAACTCGACGCAAAAACTCCTTCGGATTTCGCTTAAATTGCTCCAAACACTGATTCGAAGTTAACAACCTCATCCGCCTGTTGTCCACCGAGAGCAATCGCGCCGACAATTTTTTCATAGCCAACTTATCATGTAAAATATTGATTGCCGTTCCGGTCGACACACCTATGGCCTCTGCTACTTCGAGCACTTTCGTTCGTCGATCAGCGAGAATCATGTCGTGGACTTTTTAAATGATTTCCTCGGTAACCACGTCTGCCGGTCATCCTGATCGATCCTCATCAAAAACGGAGGTTCGTCCACGTTTAAATCCATTGAACCAATATCTAACTGTGGTCATGGATGGCGAAGTGCCCCCATAAACAGCATCCAACTTTGCTTTTATTTCCTCGCATTTTTTTCCATCCAATAAAAAAGCGAATTACCGAACGATACTGCTCTTTTTCCATCTTAGCGAAAATCACGAAATACGTGTTACTCGAATGGCTGCCAAATATAAACTAACCTATCAATCAGTCTAAAATTTGTTGTGCCGTCATCTGATAGATGGCAGCACACGATGATAACATTAACTTCCCTCAGGATCGCCCTCTGTCGTCAATCACGGGTACTTATTGAACCGCCCTCGTATTGCCTTTAAATCTGCACATATGGCCCATCCATCTCTAACAGAACTCGCATATTTTCATATGATTCCTTCATATGCACTGCGTGCGCTATTTATTACCATTGTGTACCAATACCGCTTTTAAACTAAGCTTAGAGGAATCAATGATCAGGCGCCAATCATTTGGATCATGTTCCTGTCCTAACGCGTCAAACAAATTGTTGACATCGGAGCAATATATCAACTCCCTTTCTTGACGGAAACAGTGCATGAGGTCTTGTTGCCGTTTTCGGTAAAAAGTAATGTTAACATCACCGTGGAGAAGATTCCATCCTTTTAATCTTGACGCTAATAGTTCTGTCTGGGATTTTGACAGATTTAATTCTCTAACTAGGTCGCCCCGTATAATCAAATGCGGCGCTGTTGAACATCCTGGCAGGTCAAACGAAGGTTCGGAAAGACCAAGATTCTGGTGGAACTGGGACAGAAAGTTCACCACTATGCTTAACGGGCCGCAAAGCTGATGGTAAATTAAAATACTTAACAGTATGTTTCGATTTTGGTCCAATACCTTTAATATTTGTGAGGCAAAAATAGTAGTATGGTCTCTCGGTTCTCTCCAAACCATTGGTACCGCAAAGGGCATTTTACGATTGTCGCCTCTTAACCAACCTGTTAACAACGTTACACAAGTCTCACAACATATATGAGGGGCCCATAGTTTATCTTTGTCGCCAACTTTAATTCCAAAATAAAGTTCGTATGCTTTCAACACAAGGGGAGTAAAAGTACGTTTTTGGGATTTAAAAGTTAGCTCTCCGCACACATAAGAAAAACTGTTCGCACTATTTACACAATTCCTAGGCATTGCCCATAAAGCTAGTCTCGATCACAATTTACTAAAAACAACACACCGTTTTAACAAAAATTAACAGTACTCAGAACATCTCAGTACTCTTCAACACAGAAAACGTAACTGACTCGGCTGCTATTAGTCTACTAATAAACGCAATGTGCTCTCTAAACATATAGCTCGCATATAATAAACAGAAATAGACAGGTCTTAACATTACATATGTGCGTCATCGCATAAACGCCGAGAAATGCAGCAATATGAGATGTTACGTATTATAATTCATAAAAGTAGATGTTACCAGATATCTGTGGGTGATAGAAAAATTCTGTTCGTATATTTGATTTAAGGGTCTCAAAATACATAAGATACACCCAAAAATTGTCATGTCCAAAATCCTATGTTTATCAGTGTAATTAAAGAAAACTGTCAATAAAACCTTCACTTTTGCGTCAAATTTCTACCACAATGTGCTGAGCGGTTCCATATGTAATGCCAAGTTCAGTAGCAATTTCTCTTAAGCTGATATGACGATTTCCTAGCACCATTTCTTTCACTTTTTTGACGTTCTCGTCGGTATTTGACGTGGATGGGCGGCATATCCTCTACCACTGTACGACCAGTTTTAAAGCCTTTGTTTCATCCGTATGCCCGAGTTTTCGACATTTCAGACTTCCCAAAGGATTTTTGCAACATCCTCAATGCATCAGTACACGAAATTTCGTTAGCAACACAAAACTTCAGACAAACTGCTCAACAAAACTATCTAGGTATATCAAAAAGGTAACAAGTTGATTGATGTAAACAGCGCAATGCATTGACGCAAAAATATTGACACTTATGGTCAGGTGGTACTATTCTAAAAAAAAAAATCACCGATTCTGCCATGCGCTGTTTGCTGAGATTAAAAATACCCGGAACTTTTTATCATAGGTATTTAATAATAACGGCGCTATCAATGTAGCGTACTGTAGCGTTTTTCTGGGTTATTTTGAGTGTGGATTAAAACACTGGATTGCACAAAAAGAAATGCACTAATTTATTTAACTTGATAAAACATTTATGTCTGAGTAATTCTTATGTCGCCATTGACTGCACTATACTCCACTCCGCTCTGCTACTCTACCGTATTCACTACTCTGCTTCTCTGCTACTCTGCTTCCATCTCCCAGCCGCCGAGTTATATAGTCCGCATCGTTGAGTCTAGAAGAATCGGGAGCCACATGGTGGCCTTCCCGAATAGTCGAGGTTGCTTCGCGTCGATCTAGAATACGATCCGCTGTCACGGACCTCACAGACGCCGCCAAGCGGCGTGTGCGGACGTGGTTCGCGTAAAAGCAGAGGTTGGTCATGAAGCTCTGGCGAGTAGGAGACTCGCCCAACAGATGGCGCCAATAGTACTATTTGTCACAGTACGTTAAAAACTTCTGCCACCTTACAACGACGGGGAAAAATACTGCTGGTGTGATTTGGCAGAACTAGAATTTTACCTCTTATTTACAATTACTTTCAGGAACGCAAAGAAAAGCTGGAAGAATCATACTCGCTCCACCGATTCTTGTCAGATTACCGCGATTTGGTTTCGTGGATCAATGATATGAAAGCGATCATATCCGCTGATGAACTGGCCAAGGACGTGGCCGGGGCAGAAGCACTTCTGGAAAGACATCAAGAGCATCGCGGAGAGATCGACGCCAGGGAGGACAGTTTCGCAGCTGTTGCGGAAGCTGGAAATAGTCTGCTGGAAAGAGATCACTATGCTAGTGACGAGGTCAAGGAGAAGCTGGCCATGCTTGAAAATGACAAAAAGTCTTTGATTGGTGAGTGTGGTTACATTTATTTAAAAATAATTCATTCGTGTTTGTACACAAAAGCGCTTACACACGTCTAGAAAAGTTTCGGCATTTGAACAATAAAATGTAATACAAGAATAACACATACACACAAAAGACATAACCAAATCGAAAACAGTAACGAATCGAAAACAAGTAATAAAACAAATAGTCAACAATTATGGAACAAAGTCGGCAAAATCATTATTTAAAAACTCGTTAATGCTGTAAAAAGCTTTCGTCACTAAATATCTTTGCACAGTTCCTTTAAAAACAGTTCAGTTGAGTGTTTGACAAAACTTGGGCAGTGCGTTAAAGAAGTTTACGCCGAAATAATTACTTCCGTGTCTAGTTTCTAGTTTCTGATACAAAAATTAAAAAAATCGTAAATACTATTAAGTACGAAAAACTTGAACGAGAACTTGCTGGCTGCTATTGGAATTTTGGTGAGAATATGGAAAAAATATATGACAACATAATAGGAAATATAAAAACTTGTTTAGATCTTGCAACTGATAAAAAAGTGATTTGCTCGACAAAAAATACACCCTGGTATAACAAGAATATTAAGGCAATTTGAGAGACAAACAATACAATAAATGTATATTCACAAAATCAAATTTGATTGGGAGGTATATAAAACACTTAGGAATAAATGTGTATATGTAATTAGAGAAGAAAAAAGAAAATTCTACGATAAACAAATCGATAATAACAAGTGCGACAGTGTAAAGATGTGGAAGACTTTAAAAAGACTGATCAATTCGAAGCCGCATGATTGTGTAAATCAAGTTCAATTCGAAAACGGTACCGAAACAAATTCTTTCGTGATTGCAAACAAACTAAATGAATATTTTGTGGAAAGTATTGTTGATATTGTAGGTACTTCCAATGCTGCACCTGACTATATGAAAATCAGTTTCCAGGGGAAAATGTTGCATACACTTTCAAAATTTCACAGCGTATCATTGAATTATCTAAGAAAAAAAGTAAACAGTTTAAAATCAAATAACAACTGTGCCGAAATGACTACTAAAAACGTGCTGAAAAACTGTTTCGAAATTTTGGGATATCCTGTATTAAATTGGATCAATTGTTCACTGAGAAGCAGTTCTTTCCCTGAAAATTTGAAATGCTCTACAATAACACCAGTTCCCAAAATAAAAAATTCTAAAAGATGCAGCGATATGAGACCAGTAAATGTGTTACCAGACATTGAAAAATTATCAGAGTCCATAGTGCATGACCAATTAATGCAGTTTATAGAAGAAAACAAAATTTTAGTGGAGGCGCAAGCAGGCTTTCGAAAAAAATATTCCACAGAAACAGCTTTCCAGTTGGTAACTGAGAATTGGAGAAGAGCCATAGACTCAGAAGAAGTTGTCATAGCAGTATTTTTGGATTTGAAGAGGGCATTTGAAACGATTGATAGAGATATTTTGTTAGGTAAATTGAAGGCATATGGTATAACAGGAAGGGTTTTAGATTGGTTTAGAAATTATTTGTCTAAAAGGATGCAAGTTACAAAAGTTAATGACACTATTTCATCAAAAATTGAAAATACGTTGGGTGTTCCACAGGGCAGTATCCTGGGACCACTTCTTTTTATTTTATACATAAATGATTTACCTGCCATAGTCAAAAAATGCAAAATTCAAATTTTCGCCGATGACACTATGATTTATATAAGTACTAAAAATATTCAGTCTGGTATCTTTTATATAAATGAAGACTTGAAGCTTGTCTCAAAATGGTTAGCATCTAACAGACTAAAATTAAATGCAAGTAAAACGAAAGCCTTGTTAATCGGAAAAAAACAATGTACAAATGTTCAACTGAATATTGATGGTGAAGATATTGAATTCGTAGAAAATTTTAAATACCTGGGAGTTTTTGTTGACTCTCGATTAATTTTTGATATTCATTATGAAAAAGTTATAAATAAGATTAGTAGTAAAGTGGGATATTTATCGAGAGTTTCTGGATGTCTGAGTTCATATAGCAGAAAAATTATCTATAATACCATCATTCTTCCAAATTTCTTGTACTGTTCGACTATTCTATATTTAGCAAATAATTCCATTTTTGAAAGACTGCAAATTTTACAAAATAAGTGCATGAGAATAATACTAAATAAAGATAAATATACTCCAATTAGGCAAATGCTTAGCAAATTAAAATGGCTCAATGTAAAAAATTTTATCAAATATCTTGTAATGATATTCATTTATAAAGTAAAAAATAATATATTTCCATCAAGTCTAACTAATTTAACATCATCAAATGTCGACCATCATTTACATAATACCAGAAATAAAGATGACTTCCATTTAATGACCAAAAAGTATAACATATGCTACAAATCTGTATTCCATCAAGGGTTGATTGAATATAATAAATTATACTCGGAGATAAAAGACCAGAAAACTTTGACAAAATTTAAAGTAAAATTGAGAAATCACTTGTTAAATCTACAATTATAGGTTGCCCAGCATTTACATCATACACCATATGGCTTGAATTTACTAGTTCTAAGTTGTTTACAATTGTTCTGTTTATGTAGCCAAACGTGCTAAATAAATCTTTCTACTACTACTACTACTAGTTTTTGAAGGTATTGGGTATTCTAGTATCAATTCATTATTTAACCTTGAGTTATATTTGTGAATCTCTTTCGGAGTTCTGTAGTCATGATAAAAGTTTTAACATGGATCTGAGATTCCAGTATACCGGGTTTTCAAGGAAAATTGGAAACGCTGTATTTTTTGGCAAATAAAGATGTCGCTCCAAGATTGCGACATGTTTAGTTAGTCATTAAGAGGCATTTCTGGAAAATTGAATGGGTTATCGCTCTGTTCCTGTTTAACTGGAAGTGACCTTGACTTTCGTTTTTCAAATAAAAACCTATATATTTCCTTCCATAATCGTACTCTATGCAAAATTCCCATTCCAACGATGTCACGTTTTCGTATTAAAATGCCGGCGCTATATAGGAATTTGTGAATAACCTAAAGTCCTCCATATTGCTTACAAGACAAAAACATATTTTAAACTGTTAAGGTGGCGATGCGATCAAAATAAAAAAATATAATTTCTGGCAAAGTAATAAAAAAATGTTTTTATTTTCTATTTTATAATAGACTATCAAAACAACACCCTTTGATTGCTGCTAACTGAAATTATTAATATTATCCTCTTCTACCCTATTCTACTCGTACCTATTTTGCCCGACTATTTTAGTTAAAAAAGAAATTATTACAAAATTAAGAACTGAAAAATGTTCAATATTCATATTAAAGCTAATACAGTTCAAAGCGTCCTCCATCATTTTCGTTGGCCCTTCTTATGGTTTCTACATGTCCATTGTTTAAAAAATCTTCAGTTAAGGTGTTAATTGCTGCTCTAAATCTAGCAATTCCTTCAAGTAGGCCCAAATGAAAAAGTCTAAAGTGGTTACGTCAGGTCATCATGCGAGCCACCTAATAGGACCGTTCGTCCCTAGCAACGATTCCCGAATATATCTGTTGAATATCTTGTAACTTCTCTGCTGTTGTGTGTGTTGTTGAAGTACAACATCCCTATTGTCAGCCAGGGGCAAATCACCAATAAAATCTTCTATTTCATTTTGCAAAAAATATAGGTCCACACGTTCACTCCCAAACGGTTCTGAAAGGCCGCTCCTCTCATCAAACGTGGATTTTCAGTTGCTCAGTAACGTGTATTATTTTTATTAAATAACTCAAGATTCATCAGACCACAAAATATGGTAATGAAAATTTCTGTCTTCTTGAAGTTGAGCACGAAACCAGCTACTAGGCCAATCTCCTTGAAACTCATTTCCATATAAGTGATAGTGTACCTAATATTTATGTGAGTGGTATCCATTTTTCTTCAAAATCTGCCTAGCTTAACGATTTACATTTGTTGCTTGTTCCAGTTGCCTAGTAGATACCGTTGGGTCAAAGTGAACAGATGCCAAAACATTTATCTTCGCTTCTTCACTTACTACCAAAGAGTAAACTTCATCACCATTGACATTCCCATTCCTAAACTTTGTCTCTAACTTGATAAAGTATGGATGTCTTTTATTAGGATAACGCTGAGCGTACAAAGCAATTTCTAGAACGTTTTCTGCATCCACCGAATATTAAAAGCATATCAACTTGCTCGTTTCTTGTAAAACTCATAGGAAAAAAATACTGAAGGTTCACCTTTTATGAAATAGGAATAAGTGAAAATAAATTTAAGTGAAACGAAGATTGCCAAAACGTCAAAGAACTAATAATGGGTACGCTATGAATTAACTTCCATTTATTTTCCACATCCTACTATTCTTTTCAAATAATTGCTATTTGAAATCATCCTAGATTTTCATAGCCCCCTTACTTTCTTGCTACGATTGGTAGCTTCTATAAAATAGTTGTAATTTTAATTTGTTACTAAACCGATAGTAGCTTACAGAACATCATTGGAAATGCGTTTTCATTTAGAGCCAATAATAAAAAAACTACTTTTTGTTTTGTAATACCTATACGTTATGGAGGTTGATTCACAAATTATTTTATGCAGCTGTCATTTGACAACAAAAGTAATACTTGTTATAGATCATTCAATAGAGAACAGGGTCCTATTTGAGATCAGTCGGAAATCCTGTGTTGAAGATGTGGATTCCTGATTTTTTATTCAAATAAGTATACTAACACTAAACACACATAATTACAAGCTTTCATTTATCTAGTCAGTTTTAATAGACATTTGATGATCACGCCACATTGACAGTTTAAAATATTTGTTTGTCTTCTAAGCAATATAGCGAATTTTAGGTTATTCACAAATTCCTTTATAGCGCCGTCATTTTAAATCGAAAATGTCACTTTAGACACATCGTTGGAAAGGGAATTTTGCATAGTGCACGATTATGGAAGAAAATATATTCGTTTCCATTTAAAAAGCGAAAGTCAATGTCACTTCCGGTTAAACCGGATGGGAGAGGTAACCCATTCAACTTTCCAGAAATGCCTCTCGATGTCTAACTAAACATGTCCCAATTTTGGAGCGATATCTTTATTGGCCAAAAAAATACAGCGTGTTTCCAATTTTCATTGTCACCCGGTATATTTGTTTGTTTCAAATTTATTTAGCATTAATGTTACAGTGTACATAATATCCATATTACACAGTATATCACAAAATATTATGTCTTCAAGACTACATATTTTTATACAAGTTTCACTACTATGAATTTTGGTTTTCCATGAGATATTTTTTCAATTTCCCTTTGAACATTTTCAAACTGACACACATCTTGATATCATAAATTAATTTATTAAATTCGTACAATCCCTTTTGAAATACTGACTTTCTCGTTATATTGCTACTGCAGTTTTGTAAATGAAAGTCTATACTTCCTCTAGTAGAATAATTGTGGCACTCGTTGTTCAATACAATAAAATTTTCCAAGTGATTTGGTAGAAGAGGATTTTTCAACTTTAATATGAAAATGAAAACCAAGTAGGCTATGAAATTTTTGATATTTAACCATTGTAGTTCTTTCAGCATAAAAATTATTCTAGTATATTTATTTTTATTTAAGATGATTCTCATAGCTTTATTTTGTAATATTTGTAATTTTGAAAATACAGTTTCATTTGCAGTGAACAAAATTGTCGAACAATATAGCAAATGAGGAAGAATGATAGTGTTGTACACAATTTTTTTTAGAATAAACGCTTAGGCTATGCGAAATTCTGTAAAAGTAATTTATTTTCTTGGATATTTTTGAAATAATATATTCATAGTGCCCTTCAAATTTTAATTTACTGTCTACGTATATTAATTGTAAGATTTATCATATTTTGATCTAAAGATTTTCCTATTAGTATATATTTTGTTTTGTTTATGTTTGGTTTAAGTTTATTTACATTTAAGCAATTTATTACGTTCTTCATATCATTATTTAACAGCTCTATTGCGGTTTTCAATGTCTTTATTTGATATATATATATATATATATATATATATATATATATATATATATATATATATATATATCATCAGCAAATAGTTGAATTTTGCAGTGTTGTAAAATATCAGGAATATCGTTAATATATAAAATAAATAGTAATGGACCTAATTTGCTACCCTGTGGCACACCTACCGAAATGTTTTTAATGTTTGATAATGTATTGCCAATTTAGTTCTTTGACTTCTATTGATTAAATAATTTTGTATAGCAATGCAGTTTCGTTAACAATTTCTCCCTGTCAATAATCTCAAATGCTCTCTTGAAATCTAAGAACAATGTTACTGTAAACTTTTTATCATCCATATCTCACCTCCATTCTTCTACTGCCATTTGAATTGCTGTTTCAGTAGAATATTTTTTTCTGAATCCTGCTTGAAATTTTGTCAATATCTTATTTTTCTTCAATATATTCAATGACTTGTTCATATATGATTCATTCTAAGAGCTTCTTGACATCTGGCAGTACATTAATTGGCCACATGTTTGTATCTAACTCAGAATGTTGCACTTTTGGAACAGGAGTAATTGTAGAACATTTTAATTTTGAAGGAAATTCGCCATACACATAATATGCTTGGTACAGTTAAAATTTGCTATCTTGCAACACGGTCTAAAATATAAGCTTGCTATTATTCTCAAGATTCAATCCATCGCATTTTGACCAAGAATTTAGGCATGAGAAAGACGTGTTTATGGTTTCTTTCGCACAATCTCACGGATGACCAAAAATTGTTCTACAACATTGTGAATGGTGACGAAACGTGGTGTTTTCAATACGATCCCGAACCCAAGCGTCAAAGTGCCTAATGGAAGCACCCAAGCGAGCCAAATCCGAAAACAGCCGAAAAAAGACCAAGTGATGTTGATTTGTTTCTACGATTCGAAGGGAATTCACAAAGAATTCGTTCCACCGGGCCAAACGATTGATGCTGTTTTATCATGGTTTTTTTGAGGCGTTTGCTATTGCGTATTCGTCGTGTTCGGTCAGAATATCGCGAAGGAGGAAGCTGGCGCTCGTTGCACGATAATGCACCATCTCATTGATCGACGCTTGTGTCCGATTTTTGACAAAAAATTGTATTTCGACCATCAACCACTCCTCATATTCTCCTGATATGGCACCGTGTGACTATTTCTGTTCGGTATACTATATTTGGAAATGAAGGGACAGCGGTGTGCAGACGTAGTTGCTATCCAAAGGTGTCGACGACCATTTTGAAGAACATCCCCAGTCAATGAGCTAGAAATCATCATTTCGAAAATCTGTTGGTCGTGCTATCGCTGTATTAACTCTGAAGGAGACTATTTTGATAAAATAAATTCGATTATCCGAAACAAAAATGTTTGCCTCATTTTTTCTTTGTAACTGTTGCGACAGGACCTTGTATTTAGCCTACGAGAATTTGTGATAGATACATTGTAAATGTGCCATTATGGAAAGGATTGTTCATCAAGTCCTGTACTTAAATTATTTAGTTTTCGTGAAAAAATCCCATTGATATACCTG